TTAGAAAAATCTCATCGCAATGTAACGGGAGATAATTGGTTCAGCTCTATACAGCTCTCTTATACTTACTTTCATGCAATTTATCTCGATCTGTTCCACAAAATCCCTCGAGCTGCGCTCTCGTGATTTTGTCGGAACAGCTCTCGTTAAATTTCCTAAAAGTAAGTATTCGAGACCAAGCCAAAAAATATCCGGCTAAATCTGAGCTCTTATGGTATTACCTACGACTATTTCACTAGTGTACCGGCAATAAATTCGGTATTCAGCTGCTGGACAATACCACCAACATGGTATTTCAGCGACCATTTTTTGACATTGTCAAACTGATATTTTTAATTTGAACTTTTTATTTATATTTTTGCATCTCATTTATTTTCAAAATCTTACGTGAAATAGTCATGACGAATACCACTCGAGAAAAAATTGTGTAGACAAAATTGCTCTCAAGGTTTTATTCAAGTTTGTTGCTTTTCGGCAATTTAGCTCATGACATTTTTGACAAAATCACGAGCCGTCAGGCGAAATTGCCAAGCAACAAACTTTCATACCTTTCGAAAATTTTGCCGACAAAATTTTTTCTCTTGTGATATTATACCAGGTGTCCCACTAAGGCCGGCCAGGTAGGATATTATGGAAACCATAGACCTTACGGCTTCGGGATTTTTGTTTCTTCACTAAATCGGCCAAGAGAAATTGATGGAAATTATTTTCAAGTTTCTAGGATGACCGCTAGGGGGCGCAATTACGATGATAATATAGCTAAAAATTCAACTTTTCTCAAGAAATCGCTATATTAAGATACTGTTTTAACGACAGAAATCAAAAGTTCATTAATTTTTGCGCCAGTTTGGTTATTAGGCTTTTTTTCGTATCTTCAGTAATAAGGGTGGGGGAAGCTGGTGATTTTTTTTTTTTAGAAATTGCTGTATCTTCCGTACCCCTCATTCAAACTCATTCAATTTGGGTTTATTTGGAAGAGAATTTCATTGTTATTAAGAATACCACTTCGTTCGAGGTCGATAGTTCCCACCGCGTCTGCTAGAGGGCGCTGTTTATTCAAGATCCAGTTTTTCCTAATTTTCATGAAAAATTCAAATGGTATAATATTATTTTTGTATTGCTGTGCTTAAAGAGCAAAAAAATATCTACATTTTGGCGCAAACCGCAATTCAATATCTGCATTCGTTTTCAAGTTACGTGAGGTCTATGGTCTCCATAATATCGTACCTGGCCGACCTTAGTGGGACACCCTGTATATGAAAATACCATGTACAATGAAGCCTAACTTACTGCAGGGTAACAACTAATCGTTCTTCAGGATTAATACTGTCTGGTAGTCTTCCAGATTTCCTTAAGTATGGTGTCACCATCAGTAGTAATTCGTTGAAAGCACTTACAGACATTCGCGTATATTTGAAAAACTGGCCTTCATCAGTTTCCTTCATTGGCTTAAAATATGCCTGGAAAAATCCATGGGTTTTTCTTCTCCTGTTGATTGGCCTGGTTTTAAAGCGTCATTTTTTTCTGTGACATTTTTTGCGAAAAAAATAGGTACATAAAAAAAGTATTGTTCGTCGATTTTTAACTGACACTTGCGGTATGAGGAGCGAGGGGGTGTTTCATATGGCAAAAACAGGTGTGACGTCAGGTAACCATTGGCGTTCTAATGTAGGGAGCCACCAGCTCACATTCCGTCCGAGAATCAGATTAAAATCGACGAACAATACCCCAACCACAGCAATTGTCTCGTTCACGTCCATAATGCAAATTGGCTTAAAATTGGTTTTATATGACACAGTCAATTATTTAATTTTACCCGAAAATCGGAATTTTCCAATAAATTTGAATAAAAACTCACTACACATTAAATAAACACGAAAATATTAGGTTAGTGTTGAAATTTGAAAACAATCAATTTTTTGTTTTTGATACTTCATTGGTCAAGACCCGTGCTCACAGAAATCAAAAAAGAAGAAGAAGAATGATACTTCATTTTGATGTTAAACCAATTGATCTGCGCATGCGTAAGTTTTAAGTTTACGGCAACTATAAATCAAATTTCATGTTCTTAAGTTTTAAGTTATTGTTACTGATACTGACACCATAAATCCAGCTTTACCATCCCTAATTGAACGTCTCCACCTACATTAAAGGACGGAAACTAATAAGATCAATAATGTTGATAGATGGTGAATGCGTTTAATAATATTTCGTGAAATAGTATTTTTTCAACCAAACAGTAAACTAATCGACAATAAAGGACTCTTATTTCAATCGTACCTATCTGGTTTGTATTTAAAATTCAAATTGCAAAATTGAATTAATGGCTTTATAACGTTTTTTTGCCAAATTTCAGATTTTAAGATATTTTCCTTAACGATCTAGTTATGCCAATTTATCCAAATTGGTTTATTCTGTATTGCGCTTCGTTCGGTTCATGATGTAATTGTGTGTGCTTGATGACGAGTGTAAGATTTATAGTATTTTTTCGTGGACGCATTTTTGCAATTTTTATTTGAACTTTTTGGTATGATTTGTAAATTAGTGACTCCTTAGTTTTCCATTTTTTGGAAAATAATGTCTGTGTGTGTTTATGCCAGCTGCGAACACTCAGAGTGGCGCAACCCAATGGTAACGTACCACCGATTTTCATCGGAAATTCGCGTTGGGTAGGATCATTTGAATAAGTGGATAATTAATTGTGGTAAGTAGATAAATTTTCATTTTTCAAGGCCTGCTGCGAGACAATAAATTTAAAAAAAGGTCACTGATTGAACTTAACCCTTTGGATGTAAAATTTCCAGGTAAATTTGTACAAGGGATATTTCCAGTTGTCGATTTATCCAAATTGGAACATTTAATCTTATATTTTTACCACACTGTACATATTAGAATTAATTAATTATAAGCAACCTACTTTTATTATTGCAAATGACGATAATCGATGTGTGCAAAATCAGCATTTATTGTATATAAAAGGTGATCAATTTCATTAATAAAATCAGATTCAAACTTATTGTTGTTTCTCTTACTTAAATTATGTCCAAGTCACCATTGGCCTAGCAACGCTAGTAGAGTCGTGAGACTGCGCTCTAACAATTACTTTACTTAAGCCTTATTGTAGCAGGTGCTCTGTCTGGTTACATTATGCCCTTCTTTAAACCTGTAGCAAGTGCTTTGTCTGGTTACAGGTTTAATTTGGGTACAGGCCAACTGGGCACCAAACTCTTGAGGTCATAAACGTAGACCGGCCAACTCGACACCATCAAACGCAGGTAGTTTTCAAAGAGCCCCTAAGAGATAGGCCAACTGAGCACTCTATTGTCTAGAGGATAGGTCAACTGAGCACTCTATTGCTTAGGGGATTAATTTTGGCATAGGTATTTTATGCCCCAAAATTGACAATTACATCTCAGAAAATTCAGCATTTCCTCCTTCGATGAGGGCTTCAAGGAGCAGTAATCTATTTTCAACAACTAACCCCTGCGAGTCACTTCATTCTCATTGCGCATCCTAATAGAGAAAACCATTATTGAATATCAATGCTTGATTTATGTAAAAATTCAAAATATTAATACCATTATTATTGTTAAAACTAAAAAAAAAATCCTATTTTTTGCTATGTAGATAAAAATTTGTACATCACACGTGCGTTTAAACATGACTACAAAACTCGTGTGATTAGAACGACTCGGTCTACGACCTCGTCGTTCTAATCTTTCACACTCGTTATCGTAATCATGTTCATAAACGCACTTGTAATGTAAATAACTATGAAAAATTATTCATTTAAAATAAAGCTTTTTTAGATTAATTATTATGTGAGTTTTATCACCCAAACGTTTTCTAGAAACCTTCAGTTGGCGAGTTCAATAAAGTGTCGAGTTGGCCCAGGTAAAGTGCCGAATTGGCCGGTCTCTATTTAGTCTTGGTGTTCAGTTGGCCGGTCGGTCAAGGGCTTAAATTTTACCTAGGTACAATAAAGTGCCGAGTTCGCGTCCGTCCTTTAATTTAACCCTTAAAGCAAGTGCTTTGTCTGGCTGGGGTCTTCTTTCCAACTTACAACAAGTGCTTTAGCCTGGTTGTAAGTTACCTATCTTACGCCCTAGTGCAAGTGGCGTGACTTTAAGTCCTGTCTGGTACTAAGGCCCTTCTGCTCTTCGATCCTAAACCATCAGGATCAAGCAGAAAATACCATCCAGAGAACCACAGTCTCCTTGAGCGTACACCAGTAGTAATATAACTAGTGCATAAAATGTTTCCGGAAATTTTTGAAAATTTTGTCTGAAGCGAATTTTTTTTCATGTGAGGCATTTTTTCTTTTGCGCTATGCACGAATGGATTTGTTCCAAAAAATTGGCTGAAGACTGAAGAAATATTTTATGCACGTGTTATATTTTGATAGGAAATTTCCCGAGTTTGAAGTTCATTTACTACGTTCTGTCCTATTTTTTCATTGATGGTGATTATTATTGATCTCTCCCATATAAATTGTGTTTGTCAAAAAATATACACTCTCACAGATCAATGCGTTTGAAATGGAGAGGCGGTCCTCAATGCCAAAAATGACAATTCTGTAAATTTTCTCCGGGATATTTCCAAAAATTTCCACTTATTAATTTTGAAAATTTGTATGCAAAATTTCCAATAAAATTTTCTAAAAAAATATGAGAGGCATGCATAAAATATTTCCTGCGGAAAATTTTAAAAAAATTTCGGAAATCTTTTATGCACTAGTTAAATAATCTACTACTGGAAGCTTCCCGAGTTTGAAGTTCAACACTTACAATGCTACAAATGACAATATTCTGAAAATTTTTGGAAATTTTCCTAGGACATTTCCAAAAATTTCCACTTATTAATTTTGAAAATCTTTATGCAAAATTTCCAGTGTAATTTGCACAAGAGAAATTTCTGTAAATATTCCAGCAAATTCACACGGGAACTTTTTATGCATGCGCAGTCTTATACAGGGTGTTAATAAATACTATGGTTTTTAGGGAATCCCAATCCACTTCGCTTAAGCTCCCACTCTTTGGGAACAAAAGTAGTTTGCTCCGATCATTTCGAAAAGGATTGTTACCTGGCAGAACAATCGAAGTTATTAAGGTTAGCTATTGACAAGACCTCTTGATACAAAGATATTAAATTCATATTTATATTTTCAGACTCGATGCTTCACCAAATCGTTTTGATTGTCATAAAAGCCCTAACGATCACTTAAAAATTTTGACGCCTAAGAGAACATATGCGATAAAAAGGAAAATCAATCTAGATTTAGAGGATCTTCCAAACAGACGAAAGTTGTTTCACGAAGAGTCAGACGTTGTTTCCCCTTCCAGATGCTCTATAACAACTTCTCCAATACAACAATGGTCAGTGGAGCCTCTGTCAATTTAGATACTCCCAAAAAATTAAAGAGAAAATCTATATATTGGGTGTCTGATAAGGATAGTGCCGCCTTAAAAAAAACTAAAAGAAAAGGTAGCTGCATTGAAGCAAGAAGTGACGTCGTTGAAATCGCGAAATTGGAAAATGAAAAAATATCACCAGAAGCGAACAAGTCATAATCTCCTTTATAGTGTATTGTCATCTTTTCAATTCACATCCTGACAACAAAAAACCATTACATTGTATATGCAGTTTAAGAAAAAAAAAAAAAATGGAGTATAGCTGAAAAACAATTTGCCTTAGGTTTATATTATAGAGCTCCCCATGCTTACCGGCATCTATTGCAACGGGAAATTAAATTGCCCTCAGTTGCTACTATAAAATCTTGGATCCAAGGCAATACATTTTTACCAGGCTTTAACAGAAGTTACTTAAATCAATTAAAATTAGGTGTGAGCTATATGGAGGATCGCGAAAAATATTGTGTTTTGGCGTTTGATGAGATGGCAATAAAAAAATGGCTGGTCTACAATAAGGCATTAGACTTAATTGAGGGTTTTTAAGATTTGGGAGTATTTGGCAGGTCCAATAAAATAGGTAAAGAATCTCTGATACTCATGGCTAGAGGCTTATACAGTCGTTGGAAGTTGCCCTTGGCATATTTTATTCCAAGCCGCCAAACAAAAGGACAAAATCTTCAAGAAATTATTTCTAAAACAGTAGAAGCTGTGGAAGATTGTGGCTTGATTGTAAAAGCCATAGTATGTGACCAAGGCACAAATAATCAATCTTACCTAAAACTACTTGGGGTCACCAAAGATAAACCCTATTTTATGTTCAGGAATAAACCTATATTCGCCATTTTTGATGTCCCCCATCTAATAAAAAATATAGGGAAGAATTCGCATTTGTCGAGTTGAATTTTGAAATTTGAGTCTCGGATTCTTTGAAAAACCGTCCTCAGGCATTCTAGATATTCCTGCAGTGATGTGGAGTATACAATAATGTCGTCAAGATAAACCAGACATTTTTCATTTTGTATTCCACGCAAAATGCCGTCCATGCCTCTCTGGAACGTCGCCGGAGCAAATATTGGCATTTAAAAGGGATCATTCATAGCGACTGCTGAAAAACTTGAAAACTTTAATTCGTTGGTTTGAACGCTCAATGTGTACTCTTGCTGCAGCAATTTCTCGGTTCATTGTTGCTTCTTCTCTTGGAAATTGTTGCTTGTTCCTCAAGAAAGGTGTACGTATCATAAGATCCCTTACAAAGATATCTGATTGTTATCACGTTAAAGCTGATGTAAACCCTGCAGACTTAGTATCTAGAGGCTGCACACCACAAGTTTTACTTTAGAGTGATTTGTGGTTTCACGGTTCAGACTGGCTTTAGTTACAGGAGAGTGAGTGGCCCTGGAGCAAAATAAAGTTTGAGCTAAATTTTTCTGATCTGGATATTCCAGATATATAACCAGTCTCTGCTTGTTTTGTTATAAATACTCAATTTTTGGGATTTTACCCAGTTATCCAGAAGTACTCTGACTTCAATAAACTAATTACCATTGTTGCCTGTATTTTACGATCTATTCAATGGTTTTCTGTCTGTAGACAAAATTTAAAAACTCTCAATCTACCTAATAATAATGGAGAATTGATAAAACCTGACTTTTCTAAAATTTTACAGCCACAAGAACTTGAAAATTCACTTTTATTTTTAATACAAATTGTTCAAATGTAGTGTTTTGAAACAGAATATAATTTTGCTTCATCTCTGTCAGATATATGCATTTTCGGACAACTGCGCTTCTCAAAATAAAACCTATGTATGTATGTACATCTTTTTTTCACCTTAGTAGATCTCGGAAATTCAATTCAATGTCATCGGTACCCCGAACCAGGTCATAGTTTCTTGCCTTTGACCGTAGTTTTGGCAGAATAGAAGCGGAAACAAAATATGATAGAATATACTTGCCTAGGGATTACATAAATATCATCAGAGAAGCAAGTAAAAATTTTGAAATAAAACAGGTAACTCAAGGTATGTTTCTAGACTGTAAAAGTCACTTCCTAAATATGTATGTAAAAAATCCCTCAAAAAAAAACATAAAGGACCCCGCACAAATCTTATGTAAATCCGGTCCCAGTAAAAACGGCTGAATTTTTTATATGTTGTAGTTTATGACCTGCTGATCAATTGCTCTCAAGGCCGCAAAAAAATTTATCGAGCCGTTTTCGAGGTATGAGCTATCAAAGTTGGGATTTAATGATATTATAGTAAATGGCAAATAAATGTCAAAAACCATTTTTCCATATTTTGTAACGTACTTTTTCACCAATATTAAGCAAAACACAATATAACATCGATATTCTAACACTTTGCTGTTCCATAACAAACAAAAAAAAAGGAATCTACAGTGTCTCTCGGAAGAAAGTGACAGAAAAATAAATACATATCTATATTCTTTTTTCAAAGTTTAAAAAACTGACCAGGCGTATTTTTGAGGTGTATTTTTGAGGTCCCAATAAGTTTTTTTTTCTTTTTTAAATATGAGCCACACGATTTGTTACCAAAATACAGGGTGCTAAAAGAATTTGAATTAAAAAAATTTAAAAAAAGAAATTAAATAATTTTTTATCATTGGGAAATGTTCATGTTCCTGCGTATATGGGGATAATTCGAAGTTTTTGTTCAAGGTCAAAAGACGGTGGTGTCGCCAGGGGCGTGCGGTGGAATTAGAAGTACAAGGCGAAGCGTGTCGCAGTGGGCGCAGTGCGTTATATAATGGGACAAAAATCATAGCGTTTAGCGTTTGTTCTATTGGATGGGGATTTCAATAAAATAATAGATATTTACGATACAAGTGAGTTAACCGGATACTTAAGAGACGCGTGTGAATTAGTCTGGAAGTTGCACAACGAGTACTTAGCACGAGTTGTGTATCTCACTCACTAACGTAGATAAATATATATTATGTGTTAAATAGGTTCCATATAATGGTGTTATCATTTCATTCATTTCCAATGACTCCGGTGATTGCAAGAATTGCAAAATCTGTGAATGAGAGTCGGGTTTAAAAGTTCTATTGAATTTTTGGATCTTTTTTATTTAGTAAGTGAAACTCAATCCAACTAAGAAAAAGCCATCGCCTAGTCATCTTCTGTCTCACTCTGCGAAACGACTAGGAATATGTTAAAGTGAGACAGACCGATGACCAATCGATGACGCGTGTGGCTTTTTCCTTTAGACTCAATATGTTATGTTATTAGTTTTAGATAGTGTGCCAAATAATTATAATAATGAACCGTTTTGGAGACAGAATTCATATGATGTGCTTTCTGTGCAATACAGAAGGCCGAGTAAAAAACCATGAAAAGAATTGGTGGTGAAAACAATGCTGTCAAACGTCAAATAGCCCTGACTAGACGAGAAGCTACTGGAAGGTACCTCATACAAGTATCGGAACCGACCAGGTTATGCATAAATTGTTTTATTGTTAACGAAATTCAGCTTATTAAGACGATCCAACTTGTTTGAGGTTAAACGTGCTAAAGCAGACTACCAATAGCACTTGTTTAATTTGTAGTGATATCGAAAATCTACAGAGATTAAGTATAGAGTGTCGAGTAGAAGTTTTTGTTACCGAAAATATCTATATATCCGAAAATGTCAGGTCATGCATTCATCATCTAGATGAAAACGGAATTATTCTCAGGCCTCTTCTTCGAGGATTAGAGTATGTCAACAGACCATACGTTATTAAAGGGCTCAGCGCATTTTTGCAGGGGCTCAGAAAAAGGTACAATACCAAAAAATGGGAATTTATTGACGTTTTTGGTTTTACTACTGAGGAATTTGCATCTTTGTCTCCTATCGATAGGAATCAATTTCGAGATCTCTTTAACTACTGCAATCCTGTAAATATTGGGAATAGAAATATTTCGCAAAAGCACCTATTAACATTTTTATGCAAAATTAAGCAAGGTATTTCGGACGACTTCCTAAAAGCTATTTTCAATTATAGCACTAAACAAGCAATAAGTTTAGCAATGAGCACAGTTCGCGAATTCTTGATGGAAAGTTTGTATTTGAAAATATAGGAACTAACTCTATTACACGGCAACAGTTTACCAACCGCCATATTACCGATTTTGCAAATTAGTTATATAACCCGGATCCAGAAGACAGAAAAGCAATAGTTTATATTGACGAAACGTACAGTTCAATACAAAAAAGGCCCTAAGATAATCTTTTTGTGTTCACAAAGGCAAACATTTGGTAAAGCCAATTGTAATTGTCGTCACCAATGGATACATTTCAGATATACATGGCCCATACTTTTCTGACCATGGTAATCATGATGCATCTCTAATGTCTTCAGAGATTCAAAATGATATGAATGGGATTAGACGCTGGTTCCAAGAGAGAGATATTTTTATTGTAGACAGAGGATATCGTGATGCTATTGGCATGATGGACGCACTGGGCTTAGAACACAGAATGTCCTGCAGTGTTAGGCCTGGACAACAACAACTCTCTACGGAGCACGCCAATGAATCGCGTTTGGTAACAAAAACACGTTGGATCGTGGAAGCTAGAAACTGGCAAATCAAAATTCAATTTTTGTTCTGAGACAATTATAATGCCCCACATTAACAATTTAAAAGACTTCTATAGAGTTTGCGGAGTAATTATAAACAAGTATTGCGACATAATCAATGTTAATGAAGCGAACGTCGAAATGGCCAACAGGATTCTAGAGAGATTTCGACTAGTAAATGGATTAAAGGAATAAAGGAAATAGTATTAAACAACAATTTGGACAGGAGACATGGAAGGTGGTCAAGGCTAACCGAGGAACACATTCCAAATTTTCCTAGGCTAGATATGAATTCCTTAAGAGATTTGACATTAGGTATACTTATCAGTTGAGATTGGCACCTGCCTATGTTCAAGATGCCCAATCGCTATCGCTACGCTATCAAAATAATGGTCTGAATCTTTCTTTTAAGTCATAGTTTTGTCGAATAATTAAATACTAAATCTATACGTGTATAAAAAAAAAACGATCTAATATTTTTCAGCACCCAGTATCTTGGTAACAGAGCGTTTTCTGGCTGATATTTTATGTGGAAAAAAAAATATTTTGACCTCAAAAATAGTAAAAATACGCCTAGTCAGTTTCTCAAACATTGGAAAAAATATATAATTTTTTATCACTTTCAAGACACACTGTAGATTGAGTTTTTTTTTGTTATGATTGTTATGAAACAGCATAGGAATAGGTATATCGATTTTAAATTGTTTTTTGTTCAATATTGGCGAAAAAGTACGTTACAAAATACATAAAAATAGTTTTTGACATTTATTTTCCATTTACAATAATATCATTAAATCCCAACTTTGATAG